CTCTAGAACACCTACGATCATATCTAGGTATATATTCTCGTTCTATGGTTTGGTATCAGCGTGCGCTACTCTATTTCTACCTCTTGCTGTGGATCTCGGCCACATGTATGTCTCAGTAGCTCGAATGCTTCAGGTATGTCATTTTTTTCCTAACCAAACGCTTAAATTTTATTAGGCTGAATAAATGCACATATTTAGGGTTTCTCAATAGCCATAGCTTTTGTAACTGTTGGTGCAATCACATCACACTGGTCAGCTCATCGTGAATCAGGAACTTATATAGCAATGCTATCATCCGCAGCCCAAGTAAGCAAAAATCCATGCATGCATTATGAATATCCGGCTTACGCGCTCAGCACAGCCGTAATTCAGATATTTAAAATAATTCTTTGTTTCTTATACGGTAGTTATCTATATTACGGCTCTTCGTGGTCTTCCACAATCCTAGGGTAAAATGAAAGCTGATGAAAATTTTATCCTCCTTCAGCTCAACCTCAACTGAAAGCTGTGCAGTCGTCTTACTTACTTGAATACTTGAATGGCCTGTCTTCACTCGTTGTGCAGGCCCCATCATAGTTTCCATCCGTTTCTGTCTCTCTCTAGCGCCATCTATGATGCTGTATTCAACTGCGGCGACGACGTTCGCAAGGTCCAGATCTACTAATCATTACCGACTGAAAATTCAGCTGGTCCATCCGTGCAACGAACACGTCAGCCCATCTGGTCGGTGGCCTCCCTCGAAAACGTTATGCTTCGCGAGGATCTATTTCGAATTCGTAGTCTCCATTGCCGTCCGCCCTTCTCATTAGATGACCAACTCATCGAGTTTCGCTTTAGAGATGTATTCTGCTGAATCGCGAATACGAGAAATGATCTCATTGAATTGCGAAGTCCGAGGAAATGTTGAGTACGACGGTAATTCAGAATATTACTTCTGTGGATTGTTCGAAGTGCTTTTGACGTAGCCACAGTGCCAGGCCACGTCTCTGCTGCGTAGAGTGCAGGGAAAACAGTTGAATCAAGTAGGTAAGCTCGGAGCTCTGGGTCCGTCAGCTGGTCTGTGGCTTCATTTAGGGGCCCGTAGGTAGTCCAAGTTGCTCTTTGCCTCCTACATGTTTAGTTCTCCATGTTCCTCAAACGTCCGAGATATACGTAAGAGGACGCCTCCGTAATTGAAGAGCCTTCTAAATCCATTTTCTAATCCTCGCAA